GGATTAGGGGCCCGCTTAAGGGCCCCGAAAATATTTGGTATTTTAGAGAGCAAACAGCGGTTTAGTACTATAAATCTGCTAGTCAAAATTCTAATTCAAAGAGGGGAATATTAGTAAGGCTTTTTTTCAGAAACTAAAGGAGGGAATGCCCTGCCCCCCCCCCCCCTAAATCCGCCACTGTGTATTGCTATTGTGTGTTTTATGCAGTGGCGTCAAATGGGGTTATTATATTCACCCTATATTTTTCGCGCTGCACCTTTGAGATTAAAGCTATTATTAAGTTAGTATAAAGTTTAAAAGCTTTGATAAATGCATTATTCTCGCATTTGTCGGCCATATTGGAATTTTCATGAATGTATCAATATCCAAAAATTTGCCAATTGTGACGTTTTTTTTTTTTTTTCTTTTTCTTTTTTTTTTATGTAAAATGCTCGATTGTTTTACCATATTGCTGGCATTTAATCCATCAAACGCAGACAATTTTTTTTCAAAAAAGTTGGAAATTTAACCAATTTTATTAAATTAACCAGTGTGTTTCAATTTTATTAATAAACTACCACTTTCTTTGTGAGATGGACCCTGTACTTTCTTTCTTCTCAAGTCGAGTTTATATATAAGGACGGCAAAAGGCACCGAAGACAATTACTAGTTTCGCAATTATAATTTATTAAAACAGAAACGCATTAAGATATATGTATACACGATAGGCTCCTCGTGGATAAATGCCCTTATGATTTTAAGTGCCTGGTGGGTGTTCAGTGACAAATTACAGACGTATTCTCTGAGGGCAGGTAAGTCATCAGTTGGGGGGGGTGTTCTAATATAAATGAAACGGCCTGTACCTTTGAGTGATTGAAAAATCTCTCTATATTTAACTTTTTATAGTTTCGTATAATTAAGTATTTTGAGAGAAAATATAAAAACTAGCAATGAATTGGCAGAGATTTATTCATGGCTTATGTAAGGATATAATCTTCATCTCAACTTTTTAGAATTCATCATTTTTTAGAATTCATCAGCGAGATACTACAGTATGTCAGTGGTTTGGTCTTTACGATAAACTTGATATAATCTGGAATACAAATGAAGTCTCTGACAATTCAGTTATTCTCGAGCAGGTCATGCCTACAGTTCAATTTCTTGGTTGCGCTCAACGACCGTGAAATCTCTAACAAGTGATAGAGACCATAAAGGTCCCTTCACTGGTGTCGTACCCGTATACACCTACTGCATACGTTCCACTGGGTAGCTCTCCTCCGGGAATCTGAATCAAAGAGGTGAAACCAACACACCCGTCGTCGTTATTGTACAGACTGTAAACTTGGTAGATGTTGCATGTCTGACTCCCACCGGATTCAGTATTAGACAGCGCATCACAGGCAAAAAGAGCCAGCTTTGTGTCGAAGTCGACGGTGTTACATGTGGATATGATGACATCGTTACACCCGGAGTAGCTGATGTAGTATCGCAAAGGTACCAGATCGGTAGCTACATACTGATAGCTGCCGGAAAAGGTGTAAGCTGTACCATCACACGTGACTTGTTGAAGGTCCGCTGAAAGTGACAAATATACAAAAAACTAGCATATTTTAATTTTCACAATGGCCACCAAAACGAATTATTAAGTAGTAATATTAATTTATTCAGACATTATATAATATATATAAGAAAATTGATTCTGTAAGAGCTATAATAATATTAATAATAATAAAATTTAAAACGTGGATGTAAAACGATTATTTTAATAATTTTAATTTCGATCATTCTAAAATATAATATACTAAAAAGACAGTAAGTAAACATTTGGAAAAGCACAACAGTAATCTACGTAGCTATGAGACCACAAACAATTTGACATAACATCGTTTCTTCCTTTTTGTTTGCTTTTTCTACAAACTGCTAAGTGCTTTATAAGATATCATACTTACGACACTGTGTTGTAAGTTCAGCTGAAAATTGATAAGAGATATATAAGAAAAGGTTCATTAATATTATACATACAAATAATCTATATATTGTACTACTTCTGCCAGCACATTTGAGTAAAGAACTTACCTCCCTTAACATGAAAACACGCGCACAAGTCCTCATCATATCAACTTTTTATCTATTTGCTAAACTTTATGAACGAGCCTACATGTATAACGTGGACCGTCAGCTAATATCCACTACCGCAATAAATTATCGTAAAAATCAGAATTTAATAAGCTTGCAGGTATTAGCTACATAGGAAGCAAACTACATGTACATGTCATATTATTATATGTTTTACGTTATACTTACGGCATGCCAGTGGCTCTAGAAGAAAAAAAGAAAGCAATATTATACACAACGGTATGTCAGTCGAATAATGAAAGTGGGGGTATCATCATTAGAGCTGCAGTGAAAAATATGTAGGATTCCATGATAACTATTGTTTGGTGATTAAATAAGTGCAATTATGGGTAAAAAAACAGACCAGAAGAAATAATTTATGTTGAGTAATACCAAAAGAAAAAAAGAGGGTATTCATTACAAAAATAAAAGAAACTGAATAGCAAGCTTCTTTGTCACAATATTCAATTTTTAATTTAAGTTACAATACGCGTTGTTTTTACACACACACAAAAGAAAAAAACTATTTCATCTATAAATGCATATTGTGTTATTATTATTTGCAAATGCGCTTAATGCAATAGACTTTAATTGTGATGAAAGTCCTCACATCCTCCACCTACCTAGTGCACCTGGAACACAAATGTCTTCTTCGGAGCAAGGGTCCAGTGTGTATCCTTCAGCACAAATACAGGACCAGGGCTTGGGGCAAGGTGCAATACCTTGGCTATTTGGACTAGGGGTATTCTTGCAGATCGTCACGTTGTTTTTGTCAGTCCTGCAGCACCTTGTATTGTTCCCGCATAAAGGTGGCATATCGGCCGTTGCTATAAAATAAAAATCCAGAATGAATAGACAGATTAAAATTTCGGCAATTCATGGATGGCTAAAGCATGAGCAGTTAATGGTTTCCCTTACCTTCCAAAAAATGACAGGATATTTTGTCTTTCAACCCCTCCTCTTTTCCTAATGGTGCTTAATATCGAATCGAAAATGGAAATTCAAATGTTTGTTGAGTACAAAAAACTGCCAAGCATGTCTGCCGTGTCAAGCACAAACTAGATCTCCCCTCTCTAAGATACATTTATATAGAAAGGGTGGCTTCCAAAACAGCGAAGATTATGAACGATACTGCTTACCCTGCGCATGAACTTTTTAAATTTCTCCTAAGCAAATGGAGACTTTTATATTTTAGACGAGACAAACTGCTTTAAAAAGTTTTTATCCAATCGCTACATCTATTTTTGATAGTTTAACATAATTTTTACCGATTACTCTAAACTTTTTTCTTTTCATGTATTTGATCCTGCATAAATCCAAGATGGTGAAAAAGTTTCCGTTTTTATGTGTATTTTTTTTTTTTACAATATATTTAGGCTAACAATGGTTGAATAACTTGATCATTATTATTGTTATTATAATTGTAAACTAGTAGGCCGTGAATCAAGTTCATGTCGGAATATATGGAAAGACTTTTAAAGTCCAAACTGTAAAATGTTTAAAACCATAATGCTGTCGAAATAGGGACTGATAAAATGACGTTTGCTTTTCTAAATAACAGACTAAACCAAGTGACTAAATATAATTTGCTTTGCATTGTGTAAACTCCGCTAAATCTTCCAATATTTTCAAAGGTATGACTTCTCTTTTGCCATTTATGACAACTTGAAACCATATCATCCATCTTTGAAATAATAATACAAAAGATTATTACTTACGTGCACCATCGACTGCACATAGTGACACCGCCATCAAAACAAGACAAAGGGCCATTGAACTGGTCATCTTCTCCTTCAAACAATAGTTTTGAAGCTGCTGAATTGATTTCTGGCAAATTGTTGATCTACTGGTTGTCAGAAACGACTGTGGATCTGATAAAATGTTCAATATACTTATCATTTTATAGAAAATTCTCAATGTTGGCTGTCATTTACTGTTTGAGAAGAAATAACCAATCACTTGCTTGCGAAAGATGATTCGCTCACTGCGAATTCCCTCACTGTCCAATAAAATTATCTGCATCTTAATTTTTGGTGTGTTTGATTATCATATTATAATGATTTAAAATTCGTTTTTTTTTTTTTTTTTTTGCACCCTCATTTTTGCAACCCCCGCACATTTTGTACCTAAATGATCGTCTTGTAAGATATGCCTATAGACCTGCATTTCTACCTTCTGTTACACCCAGAATATGTAAAAAAAAACACACGAAATAGTTGGACCCCAATCAAGTCTCTTTAATAAAGTTACTTTAAGATGCTAAATTATTTCATTTGAACTCACTGCCAACGCTTTCTTAGCACTATTGGATACGGTCGCTTTACAAAATGATGTGATCAATTCTTTTACCCCATGGTTACTTTGTCATAAATTGATGGGGGGCAACTTACCCCGGGGTCCAACTAGTCCCGGTCTCCCCCTAACATCTCACGGAAAGGTGTTGCTTTAACGAATTTAAATTGTGATTAAAATTGACTGTCGTGAATATCTTATACCAAGCATAGTTGATGCCGTAACAAGTCCAAATGATATTAACAAGTTAATATTCTTGGTAAACATGTCAACAATGCATCTCTTCTTATATTTTATATCTTAACTCTGAAACCATATTTCTCTTTTGCAATCAAAATAAAGGTCAAGCTGATCAATTGGAAAATTAAATCATTTTTACAACTTGTGGTATTGTAATATGTCTCTTCACCATGGGTCCGTGACTACAGTGCACAGTGCTAAGCAGTAAGCTCGATTTTCTTTAACTGTGCTGGTAGAACCTGTATGTATGACAAACACTCATACATTCAAAGAGATTTGATCTGAGCAACAGAATATTAATATTCATGTTGTTAATTTACTTCTTTTCTTACATTAAAGTCTTAAGTGCATTTGGCGGAATACAAAATTGTTACTTTTGATTTTTTTCTATTTTAGCTTCATTTTGCCTATGCAGTGTATATTATTTTTATCACGTTATGCATACTAAAAGTTGTCTGCAGGTTCATTTCACTTGATTTATTATAATTCCCATCTAGCTGGTATTCGTCTTCATCGGACTCGAAAAAATATGAATTCACAAGGAAGGACAGGAATGGACACTCTGGCTGTCACTTATCATATTAGCTCAAAATGGAATAGTTGCTTATCTAATAAATACTTATCTTTTTCATGTTCCGTCTTTGATTTGACTGGATAAATTAATGTAATATAGTGCAACGTGAAAGCGTTTCTGTAATACCTATACGTAGGAATAGTGCCGTCAAAGTTCCCAATATTTTTAGCTGTGACTTGGAACCTTTACTAATAGTTGCTACTTGGAAAGACTCCCACCTATCCCCCCC